GAAATTTGTCGACACTGATATTTATAGTTTGACTCGGATATACAGCAAAATCATTTCTCAAGTTTCGAAATTGTTCAATAGTTGTATGTGAGATGATTCTTATGTGATTCATTGGTGTGCTAACTATTTCTTTTCTAAACTCTCATGAATTGTCTAATCAGGAACCCTACCTTTTTATGTCCTCTATTTTGCTTAGACATATTTTTTAACTTCCAATACAATGTCAATTAGGCACCTCATTTTTTTTTGTTTCCTTCTCCCACACCAACTTTATATAATTATTACTGATTAGTTCAAACAACGCTATTACAGGATTCTTTTGGGACTAATCCTAATGTAGTTCACTATTAGTTTTATACCTCTGCTCTTGCCACGACCCTTTGGCTTCCTAGTCAATTACGGCCCAGCTTAATTCTAAACTATGCGTCTAATAGCTCTTAGGGCATTCGAGATACAAATTATATAACAAAGTCAATATAATGTATCATTAACTCTCTACCTCTAATCACCCCAAATCATTTTTGTATGTACACAAGAAACCAGTCCACTACATAAATATATAGTTTCACACATAATCTACTATGGGACCCTAGCTCAAAATCTATTCTCTCTCTACATTGCTACACTTCAAAATCATTCTACTCATCCACACCACAAGTCACTTTACCTTCTCAACACTGACTAGTCCCTATATTCTTACAATTAAGTCCTAGTCAATATAAAAAAGTGGTCATCTCAATAGACAAGGATGCTATCTCATAATTCTCAGTATAGAAGGATGCGTTTTTTAGCGCCATTTCAAGAATGAGTTGGGGCTTTTTTGGTATTTTAGCCCACAAAAGGACAAAATATCATATTTACTTATTATTTAAGCATTCTACTCACATATAAATGAAACAAAATCAGTTGCATCTCTCCCCTCAATCTCCTTATTACGAGAATACTTCCATCTACTTATACTTAATCATCTTCTTTATATCATATAGAAAAATGTTCAAATAGGATGACGGTGCGCTCTCAAAAAGATTTATTTCGCAACCAAAAGACAATAAACATAAAGTTACTCCTATACCCATTATCAATACGCTCTCAATCAAGTTGAATGTTCCCTTCTTGTGGGTCTCTTAAGAGATAGGTTCGCCGTAAAATAAAAATGCTGCACAATCCACATAGCGCAAAAAGTCACCTCCATATACAAAACCACTCCTTGCGCCATCCAAATAGTGACTAATGCTTCATCCATAAAGTGATCTACTATAAAATAGATGAGTTGCAATACAAGAGTCAATTTCCCTATTATTACATCTAATCATTCAATTGTGCTCGAAATATATATGTTCCGTTAGGTTATACTCAGTCACAAAATGGACTCTTAGGACAAATTCATTTCTTGTGCGAATCTAGAGTGATGATAGATTCTTAAGACTTCTGTTCATTTTGTACGAAATAGCATACGCGTGAGCATGTCAATTTCTTAATAGAAGGGTGCTCTGCTTTAAGTCAAAGAATTGATATTGGTTTTAAGAGGTCTCTCAGAGAAAGAAAATGGAAAAAGAATAGTGTCTCCTCACGGTGATACTTAAGTAGAATTTATGACATAATCGTTATCATCCTACGTGCCATATTGGTTATCCTTAGTTATTTCACTACTCCTAGCATATATTACCTCAACACCTTTGCTTCAGGCTACTTTCTACAGAAGAAATAGTCCCTCCCTCGCACCATACTCACTAACACGTCAACACATAGAAGCTCGGCTCCATAAACTTAAGTTATTCCAAGAAGTCAAAACAAAGGCCCAAGATAAAATTAAGGTCCACTTAGATGGGAATAACTACATCTTAAATGTTACTGCGGTCAGCATGGGTGATATCAGAATCACTCTGGTCCCTTCAGTGACATCTGATAAAATTGGAACGATATCAGATCACTCTGCACTTTCCTTTTTAGATCAGTGTTGAAGCAATTCCATGAACATGAATTGACGAAATCATTTATGAACATTGTTAAGTGCGTGAACATTTGACTAACCCTTAGATTGGAGGAGAATTGATAAAATGCATCGAGTAAAGAAACAACCAAGTTTAGAAACTCAATTCTACTAATCAAAATAGAAAAAAGAAAGAAAAAGAAACTCATGTGATGGATGCCACAGTCAAAGTGAATATCATTGCATTTTCTTACAGTTAAGTAAATTTTCTTCACCCAATTACTGTCCCTTTAAAAGGAAAAAAAGACCCTCTGCTAATCTAAGATAGACTATTTGCAGATGTTTTTTTTTTTTAAATAGACTATTTGCAGATGTTGTGATTGGTGATAATGCTTTTATAACTCAACACACTAGCTGCTCCATAGAATATGCAACTATTCTGAAACATATCAAGACAAACTTGTTTCCATTTGATCACAATCCTTTTCAACTTCACGAGCATGATATATCAATCCCAACCATTGGATGTTTTGTCGCTAATTAATTCTACTATTGAACCATTAAAGTTAGACTTGCAATTTTTTATTCATCTCTGTTAACCATGTCAAACTATATGCAGATATTTATTACATTGGTTCTCCTCAAATTTCCTCTGCAATTGATGAGGCAACTTATGAGGTCCTTTGCTTTGTCACGTATGCTTCTCTAGTTTAATAAGACTCCCAAACAGGCCTTAGCTTTCTGCACGGCTTTCTGACAAATGAAGAAATTGAAGGCGCGATAGAGGCAGGCTAGCACTGGGAAAATGTTAGTTTTATGTCGAGATAATTTGCATTAGTTTGTTGGAAACTTGTAATGTGATATGTTAGTGCAAATATTTTCACCTCTTGTGCATATCTTTAGACAGTCTGTTCAAATTATGGATATTACACACATGATACTGAACCGGAACTTTGTTTTTCATGTTGGTCAAGTTAATTTTCTCAGCAGTGCAGTGATGGAAAATGATTAATCGGTCTCTCCATATTTCTATTTTTTCATCTAGTTTTATTATTATTGTTGTTGTTATGTCTGTAATTGGACCTCCTATATATATGTTGTTGCTATTTGAAATTTGTTGTTTTTCTTAGAAAGAAAAACAAAAATCTGAAGTTTTTACTTTTTAATCATATGCTACAGATAGTTCAACAATAAGTAAAAAATGAGATCTAAACTATAAAGGCAATGACCATATTGGAAATCTAGGAAAATTCATGTAGTTTTGGGTCCATCAATGGTTTTGGATAGTATAGTATTGTTGGTCAATTGGCATCTTGACCTATGACTTACATGGAGGACACTAGCTCGGTTTGTTTTCAGATATAGAATGGAAAGGATTGATAGTAAGGGAATTAATAGTGAGGGGATTGATAGTGAGGGGATTAAGTAAAATTATATTTGTTTTGATGATAGTTGTTAGTGTAGAGATTGTTAAGTTATTTTTATATAAAATAAATATAAAATAATAAAAATATTAAACATTAATGTTATAATATTTTAATAAATATTGTATATAATGATTCTTCTTTTTTTCCTGAACTTACGTAAAAATCTTATATGTATATGTTTTAAATGTCTAATATTCAAGTTCTACAAAATTTGATTACTGTTTCACTTAATTAGATTTGAATATTAATTTATATCTATTTCTCTTATGTTAAATTTATTGAACAAAATCTAGCTTTCATGTTATGTACTTTTTATATTATTCTGTTGACATTTTGTATTTAAACTTATGTTTATGAGATATTATTTTTAATTTTAAACATACTTCATTTTTTTTCTTATCAAATTGCAAGTTATCCATAAGTATAATTAGTAAAGCAAAGAAAATTGAGTAAATTCAACAATAGAAAAATTCTCCATAACGACTTAAAATTAATATAAAATTAGTATATATATATAGGTTGGGTTATGTAGCAATGTTTTAAAACCCGGACCGGACCGATTTGTGGAATCGGGACCTGGGCCTAGTTTCGGGTTGAAAACCGACCTAGATTGCCAAAATCGGTGACCCGGTACCAGTTTTGAAACGATTCGGCAGTTAGAAAATTTCTAATTTTTTTTTATCTTTCTTCTTTTCTTTTCTTTTCTTTTCTTTTTTTCTTATATATATATATATATATATAAATATTTCAAAATTTTGACTAAAAACTCTTCTAGAGTCTTCTCTCATAAGGAGGAATCTCATTGGAAGTTTGGGGAGATTATGAAAGTTTATTGGCATTTATAGAAAAAGATTTTTCAAAGAAAACTTACAAAATTCTATGTGAAATTCAATCAAATTATTTGAATCATATTGATTGGAAGGAGAGTTGAAAATTTCATTTCCTTCCAAAATTAAATCTAGCGTTCAATCAATTTGTTTGGAGAGAATGTTAAAAAAAATTAGGCTCTGTTTGGTTGTGTTCTGGAAATGTGATTTCAGGTGTGTTTTTGAGTTGCGTGTTTGTTTATGGTTTTTAAAAATCAATTCCACGCTTTGCTTTGAAAACTTTGTCACCCAGTCAACTCGTGGTCGACCCCCGGATGTCCCACAGGACGTCCCCGCCAGTGATTTTTTTTTTTTTTTGAATTGACACATGTTATGTTTTATATATTAAATAAAAAATATGTTCCGAATTTAAATTTTTTTTTTTTATGAGTTTTGTATAGAATTTTGAGTTATATGGTTAGTTATGAGTTGTTAGTTTTTGTATCAAATATCACATGTCACATCAAAAATTTCCTACTCTATTTAAAATTCTTTTCAAAATTCATAACAAAACAAATTTTCTACACTCAAATCATAATTCTAAAACTCACAAACTCAAAATACTACTCATATTCTCAAATCATATTTACAAAACTCTACCAAACGCAACCTTAATTTCTTTAAAACAAGTGATTTTTTCTTATCAATTATGATTTTATTAAATATTATTAATAAATACTATGTAACAATTTTTATTTTTATTTGAGTATTTATATATATTTTTATTTATTTATAATTTATAATTATATTTTTTAATTATATGATATTAACGTGACCCGATAGTTGAACCGGTGATCCGTCTATCCGATCTCTTTTTTTGTTCACTTACCGATCCGATTTTCAAAACATTACTATATATACAAATATATTATATACACAAAAAGATTGAAAAATAAACATAATTTGTAACAAATAAAAATTGGATGCGGATCCTCTCTAGTCATGAGTTGGTACTGTATGGATAGCAGAAGGATAGTTTGTTAATTTGGCCAGGAATCATATTGACTTTCTGTTTTGACGGCGTTCATAATTAGGAGTGCTGATGGGTAGGATTGATTTGGTTTTAAAGTAAATTAGGAGCCGAAATCAAATCATTAAACTTATGTAATCGGTTTGATTCGATTCGATTCGATTCGGTTCGGTTCGGTTCGGTTTGATTCTATAATTATAAAAATTTTATGTGATAAGAAATATGATGTGGAGATATATTTTTTGAGTACCGACACGTGACAAGGTGACGCCGACGTGTCAACCGACGTGCCACGTGTCAAGGTCATGACGCCGAGGTGATCTCGGGTAAGCCGAGGTTATATCCGAAGATATCGGAATCCGAGATAATCGGATAAAAGATAAAGGACAAGAGCCCTAGAATAAAGAGGAGACTTAGCCAAGATAAGGATGAATCTCTTAAGGAGTTTATCTTTATCTCTTGAGGAGTCCAAAGTAAGTACTGAACAAGAATCCATAGAAGTCAGGCTTCTAATGAGATTTGGATTGAGGTAACTATAAAAGAGAGGCACCCTCGTGGGTCTAAGGTACGCAATTTTATACTTTGAGCAGTGAGTTTAGCACTTGATTCTCTTTGAGAAATATACTGACTTGATCGTCGGAGTGCCCCCGGGTGGAAGAGCCACCGCCGGAGCCTTTTCTTTCTGTTACAGGTTAGCTGAAGCCATCTATTCTGCCGATGCTCTCCAGCTGATTACTAAACGGGCAGTGTGATCAGAAAATTATTCACACAATTTGGCGCCGTCTGTGGGAACTTAGAAGAATAGATGGCCAGTAACGGACAGAAGGAAAACAATGGGGGCGACACTCCTGTTGGGAGTAGCAGACCAATTGACCTTGACGTTGAAGGAGACCACCACAATACAAAAACTCATGACCAGGACCACGGAGAGAAAGACGCCGACCAGGAGGGCGACACTTCGAAGAGGACAGACCAAGGCAAGTACTATAATGAAGATAACCTTCAGGTATAGAGAGATAGGTGCCTACAGAGAGATGAGGAAGTAAGAGAATTGGCAAACAAGTTGGCATACTTGCAGTCGGTCGTCAACTTCATGATGCAAAACAATGTCATGCAGCCACAGTACCCGTTACAGGATATGCCGATGCCAGCAACGAATACCCAGAAGGGAGAAAGAAGAACAATCCCTGAAATCCCTCAGCACACCAGGAGCGGAAGGCACTCTCACTGACCTTCTAGGGAAGTCGGACGAGAGGAGCCAAGACGAGAGGAGTCCCGAAGAACGTATCACACAAAGGACCCACAGCCCAAAGAACATCGCCATGTTCAAGGGCAGGCGCTCTGCTTTGACACAACACATGGAGAGAGATCAAAACGAGCCCACCATGAGGCCGAAAGTAGTGTGCCGAAAAGATTGAAGTCCAAAGACAGCCGAGCACCAGGGAGGAGTAAAGAAGACTTGAGAGATTACCTCAAGAGGAAACAACAGAATGCTGAAGCCGAGGTAACTTCCCCAATTAAGCCGAAGACACCATTCTCGATGGAACTGGACAAATTTGAAACACCAAAGAGATTCAGTATACCGAGGTTCCGAATATATGATGGTAAGTTGGATCCCAACTTTCACGTTGGACTATACCTGAATTCAATGGCATTATATAGTGGAAACGAGCCATTGCTCTGCAAAGTATTCCCCTCAGCATTTGGGGAAATTGCATCAGATTGGTTCCGTAAACTACCGAAGGGAAGCGTAAAGACTTGGGAAGGCCTGGCCGAAATGTTTGTGGCCAGGTTTGTGACAAATAAACTACAGCCCTTAAGGGTCGACGCACTGATGGCTTTAAAAATCACCAAGGATGAAGGCCTTAGGGCCTACGCAAAAAGGTACTACGAGGTGTTCAATCGAATACCTGAATGCAACCAAGAGGTAGCAGTCGTGTCTTTCAAGAACGGCCTGAAAGATGACTGCCCACTACGGAAGTCTTTGGCAAAGACATTGCCAAAAAGCATGGAAGAACTCATGGCGAGAATCGAGAAGTATGCCAGAGCCGAGGAAGATGCGTCGGGAAATAAAGAAACAAAGTAGGAGAAAGGAAACGGCTCACCGAAGCGAAGCCGAGGTAACAATGGACCGACCAAACAAGAAACGAAACTAAGGGATAAACAGGCAGTAACGACTAGATTACGAGTCTCGATCCACAAAGTCTTGGATCAAATACGAAACCAACCCTATTTTAGAGGACCGACAAGAACACTAGGGGAATTCATGGGAAGAAACGTCGGTAGGCGTTGTGCTTACCACAATGAAGAAGGGCACCCAACTCAGGGCTGCAGAGCCCTAAAAGCACACTTAGAAGACTTGGTAAGGCAAGGACATCTGAGGGACCTTGTTGATGAGGCCAGAACTAGAGAAGAACAGGAAAGATTGCCTCAAGCACCAGCAGCTCCGCCTCCCCCAGCTCAGCAACCACAGGCAGGAGGACCACGGGTGGTTAATGTAATTCACTCAAAAGTGAACGAAAATGACATACGAGGGGAGACTGAGAGGGTAAAACACCTACAGCACGTGAACTAGGTCCGACATAAAAGACCTCGGCCTGAAGAATACTAGGGATCGACGATAGCCTTTACTGAAGCCGACCTAGAGATGGTCCAGCATTCACATAATGATGCCTTGGTAGTATCCCTCCAAGTTGGGGAGTGCCAGGTGAAATGCATCCTGATTGATCAAGGCAACTCTTGCGACATCACGTATGTTAGATG